ATTACTGATTCTTAAACTAGACTTTCGTGTTGTCTATTACACTAAATCGGATTAATCATGCATTTCCAAAGTCTTTTGGGGGGCATTTGTAGTTTCACAAACTGTCCATTTAGAATAGAACCTGCTCCTGACCAAGACAGCTCGACATAAAGTTTATGGTTTAAGAAAATTAATAAAGTGAGCAGGAAAAAGAGTAGGCGTCATGACCAAAATGACTTCTATAATTAATAAACTGTTTCTAAAGGTAATATAAATAATTTTGTGAAATAAGAAAAGAGCTGGTAAAGAACCTGATAAAAAGTTTTATATCGAGGTAAACAGTCCATGTTCCAATAACGTGTCTTCTCTATCTTTTTTAGGATTCGCCTTATTGATTCTGAACTACTGTTTAAAAAATAATCAGTTTTATAATAGATATAACCCAATGATGAAATGGAAAAAGTAACATTCTATGTTTGCTGTTCATTTAGGCTGATAAATAAGTGAGCAACACTTTGACAGTGGATAGTCAGTTCACTCTTTGAGCATCTGTTTCATCCTCCACTCTTTAAGTTACAAACATAGGTTGGATCCTACAGGACAACAATTCATATCTAACTGTGGAATGTTTTGTTGAATAGGCAAACAGACATGTAGCCAGCTTTGGTAGACAACAGAAGGTTTCTATTCTCTTGAGCTTTTAGCGTCTGTCTGCTGCAGAACAAGCTGAACCTGGAAATGTTGTCTCTTGGAAATTTCCAAGTACAGAGAAACTGAAGAAGCTGCTGAGAAGTGCAGGCTTATGCGTGATTATCTTGGGTAAAACACACGGGGACTGCTGTTCACCTAAGTAGTGTTAACTGCACTATTAGTGGTAATGGCTGATATATGAGCCAAAGACAGCTTAAGTGTCACAGAGGGACAGCTATTTTGGTTCTAATGTAAATAATGGGACCAGGTTCACAACGAAATAATTTGAACAATGTTAAAATGCTAAAAGTTTTAACAACCCAAAACTACTTAGAACTTATCCACACATCAGTTTCACAGAAACCAGTTTGGAAATGGGCCACAAATATCCGACTGGTAAATCTCGAGTTAAGACTTTAAAGCTGTATCATAAGATACATAACAGATGATTGAGTCCTTAACTGCTTGATTTCAGGCACTTATATCTAACCTGATGTTGCCCACATAAGATCCAAACACAAACAGCTCAGAGGAGCTTTAATTGCTACAGTAAACGCCATTAAAGAAAAAGCTTCAGATTTCGCCTTTAATGGCCGCACCTGATCGTCCGATGCAGCAGCCTCTGCCAACAATGAGGGTAAATGAGCATCCTTCCACAGAAAGCCATCAGTAGCCACATGGCTGCAAGGGGAGCTGCAAGCTTTTTCCATCTGTGTTGTAAATGAGATCTAAATGGAATCTAATACTACAGGCCGTATTCAGCGGGGAGCCTCAGTTGAGTTGTGGACATTGATTAAAGGGGGAAGCAGCAAGGAAATAAACTATAAGCATTGCAGGAGGAAAAGAGACAGGACATTTACAGTGTGAGCTTGCAGCATTCAGGGAGGTTTGGACAGATTTACATGCATGAATACCAGTTGTAATGTTATAAATCCTAACATGAGTCAGAGATGATGAACTGGAAACAACTTTATCTCCTTTTATTGGCCTATGTAGAGGCCTGGCCTAGCTACATCCAGCTACTGTGTCAGCAGTTCAGATTAACAAAAAAAAAAATTGAGAATAATTTAACAGAAGAAAGAAAGCACATTAGTAGTTTATGTATGATCATCATTCAAATCAATATAGTATATTTTGAGTTTATTGTTTTGATTATACAACAATCTACTTCTATGCATCTCAAAATCAAGAGGTTTTTGCAAAAATATGTTTTCATGTAAATACAGGGTTCTAATACGACATACGTCTTACTGATAGTCAGATCAATATTCCAGCGATATTAGCAGGTTTTTGGAGCTTCTTGGGCAGAAGCCATATTTTTTAAATAGTGTTCACGTTTTGCTCATAACAGAAGCATAATATTAGTCCCCTACATTGAGTTTGAAACCAGTTTGCCTCATGTTTGGGGTCATGTGTCCTATTGGAACATCTGAATGTGTCCAAGTTTCAGCCATCTAGGTAATGTTAAAGCATTTAGAAAAACAGTCGACATGATGATGTCACCTCTAACCTCGACTGAAAAGTAAAACCAGATACATCAGATTACATTTGCTTGTCCACGTACTGCAGCAGCAGAAGTCACCCAAGTATGACGTTGTTAATTGTAAAAAAGACTCTGCCAAGGTGTTCATGTTTTCCGTCATGTTTGTTTTTTGGATTGTTAGCAGGATTACTTGAAAAGTTATAAACAGGTTAAATCAGGTTGGGTCTGGGTTAGCCAGCAGGTGGGTCCGGATCCGGATCCTGGTCTGCTAATCTGTGACCTCTGTTATAGAAGGTAAATAAGGTAAGTAAAATATAAATTAATTGTTATCATCATCACAATATTAAGCAACACTAGGATAATTACAAGATGTCCTGCTATCATTCAGCCCCAATAGAACAAAAGGTTCCTTTGTTTTAGCTTAAATCTCTAATAAATCTGCTTTCTTCACTGTTCAATTTGGGTCAGTTGAGTAATATTTTGGCATAACTGAGAAAATGCTCCTTGTCTCAATAACAAAACATCTTTTTGTAGGGTAAATGGTAAGGTTTTAAAACCTAAAAACACTATTACAACAGGTAAGCATGGCTGTGGAATAATCACAATGTGGGACTGTTTTACTGCTTATTGTACTGTTTGTGTGCCCATTATATTCAGAATAGTGAAAAGCGATCAACTACAAATTTTGACTTCTGAACTCTCAGACACAGTTGAATGTAGCAGTAGGAAAACCAGGCTTACATTAAGCTTCTGGAAGACTCTAACTTGAACCTTTTCAAAAAATCCTAAATTTAATAGTTAGGAATCAGGTTAATAAACAAACATCTCTATCTGATAATAAGTCTTCCAGTTGTTGCAAATTGAGGAAATTTTGCCAATCCTCACATGCTATTTTGCTAATGGTTAGGTTTAGGGCTAAGGTGTCAATTGGTTAGGGTTAGGGTAAAGTATACATTGGTAATGGTTAGGTTTAGGGCTAAGGTGTCAATTGGTTAGGGTTAGGGTGAGTTATGCATTGGTAATGGTTAGGTTGAGGATTAGTTTTAGGGTTAGGGCATAAAAAGGATTGAAAATGAATGAAAATCAATGGAAGTCAATGGGAGTCAACACATGGTCCTCACTATGATGGCAGAACAAGTAGGTATGTGTGTGTGTGTGTGTGTGTGTGTGTGTGTGTGTGTGTGTGTGTGTGTGTGTGTGTGTAAGTATACATTTGAGTCCATTTTAGATGGAAATAAGTTGAAATGAATTAAAACTTGATCACCAAATTGTAGTGTTTCCATGACTATGAATACTTTGTAAAACATACCAGTCATTACAACAATAGACAAATAATAATTCTATTGCAAGACTTTCTGAAACACATCCCTTGCTTTTAAATCATATAAATACAGTATATAAAAAAGTATTTTTTAAAAATGGGACAGGATTTATTTAAAAAATGGTATATTGAAAGAGGGAAAAACTCAATTTCACACATCAGTAGGTGAATAAACCGATTTTAGGTGACTTTCCTCCTCACTGCACTGCTACATGTGCTCCAGGGGGGAAAAATGTAAGATGGGAATTAGAGGGTAAAAAGGAGGGAAGAAAGATGGAGGGAAAAATGATTGAAGACTGATGGGAGGACAAACAGAGACGGAGAGGAATTTAAACAAACCGGTGTGACCTGGAGCTATTTTCTGTAGCTAAGTCTGGAGGTGTCTCATGACGGCTATTAGAACAAAGTGAAATATTACAGAAATGTTAATGTACAAACAGACACAACAACAGCACATGTTTTCCAAGCTACATTGGTTCTGCACGCTCTAGTTGTGTAATATTTGGGCTTGGTGTAAAAGCTGGTTTCAGTTGACATGCTGTTGCCATAATAAAAAACGTTTAACTTTGTCTTCTATGATCCAAAACTTTTCTAACTTATTACACTTTCTCAATATCCAGCACCAGAAACCAAGTCAATGTGGAAACTTGATTAATGAACATTATATGTTTGTTTTATCTTTTACCAGTTAATACCAGTTAAGAGAAAAAAAGGTTAAACAGACAGTTTTATTAACGCAGCAGATAAATCAATCAAATCTTATGCAGCTTCTTTTTCTGAATGGCTTGATTTTCAAACTTTTCTCTGTCAGATTATCACCAAACTGTATGTTCTTTGCTAACCTTCTGGAAATCTGCAGAAGATGTGTGAAACGAATATTCAATTAGTTGTTTTGCATCACCGACAGCCCCAAGCCAGCTGGTGCTGTGAAGTTAAATGAGATGAATGCCATTTTAGAAAACGGCACATTTCACCCTCATGAAATCCGCGTGGTCACTTTGATATCTCGAATCACTGACCAATTTACTAATATCCCAGAAACTCTTTTATCCCAGTGGGCAGTAGAATGCGTTTTGGGAACGGTTTTAAAATGTTTGTTTGGAGGCGATTTATCTTTATTCGTACTTTACCATGCATTTACTGGAAACTACTGCTCCAGGCTTTGACACAAGTCCATTTATTTAGTTGTTTATTTTATTCATCATCTTTTTCATATTTATTTTTATAACCTTGTATAAATACCAACAGTACAGATACGCAAGTTTCACTCTAAAGTTATTTAATTCAGTATATTTTTAATAACATCTATACTTTCCTTCTGTATGTATACAGCATTGGTACACAAATGTATGTTTATTCAAATTTAGAAAAAAATAATCAGTTTATTATCAATCTATTTATATACACTTTTCATTCCATACAACTGTCATAGTTTTTTTTTATTGTTTAGAAGGATATAGATCTGGGAGTTTTGCTCTCATTTGATAACATAATTATGCCTTTTAACAGACTTTTCTAAACACTTACCAATATCATCGATTTTTAGGTCTGGTCTTAGTGTGTAGTCTGGTTCTGTAGGCTCTGGTTCATCATCCACATCTGAGGCTTAAAGAAATGGAGAAAGAAAGACAGAGAGAGTGAAAACAGAAGAAAGTGTGTGAAACTAAATCGCAGTTGACGAGAGAGCTGTGGTTTAAACCACCATTCCAGCCTAAGGGATTTTAATTACATCCATGCTGACATCCTGAGGGGAACTTGCAAGAGACTGGCAAGACAAGGGTGCAGAGGTTAAAAAAGCCCAGAGCAGAGCAGACTGACAAGCGGTAACATCAGCAGTGTTCTGCACAAAGAGATAGAGAAGAGAGAAATAGGGCTGTGAGGGATGGCAGATCAAAACTGAAGAGGGCCAGTGTGCAAGAAGAAAGAGAGTTGCAGGGTTGAAGGAGGGAGGAGAGGTTAATACTACAGGGCTGTGGAAGTTAAAAGGACCGGACAGGCCAGGGATCAAAGGCTGTGTGTAGAGAGTGTGTGACTGCGTGTGTGAGCGGACTGAGAGACTGAAAGGTGGCAGCAGAGACAGAGAGAGAGAGAAGGATAACAGTATGTATACATAGCCACCCACTGACTGAACAGAGCAATTAATGGATTCTGACAGAGAGCGATGGAGAAACGGTGAAAGAGCCGGAAAGAGAGAGGAAGAGGACAGGAAGGAGGGGAGGAGAGGGAGTCTTCAAAGCAGGAGGTACTTGATGGAGAGGGGGAGGAAGGGGAAAAAGGGAAGGAGGAGACAACGAGAAGCAAAGAGATGCAAAACTGCAAGTGTCTATGTTTGCAGAAGGAGGCTCACTCCCTGAGTATACCAGATGCGTTTTTTAGGTTAATGCTGTTCTTGGGTCTGATAGATGATGGGCAGCAGGCACAATCTTTAGCAAAGTCAAACCCTTGCAACTAAGGTCAAACAGCACAGGAACAAAGATATATCATGGGGCTTACCTGTGGAGCAGCAGACGTACACACGTAGTCTGAGACAGCTGCGTCCATGGTGATGAGTAGGAGTGGCTGTGCAATAAAAAAAAAAAAAAACAGCAGATAAATATTGGGGGAACCCAACGGAGGGAGGCTTGTTTTCTCTTGTTCGTAGCAGTTCTGACTACAGTCAAACTACAAAGAAACTAAGCCCCAGGGTTTTAATCAGCAAGTGATGTCATAGTATCTTGTTGAAAATTTGGTTTTAACTAGGGCTGCAACTAACGATTATTTTTCAAATCAATAATTTGTTGATTATTATTTTTTGATTGATTGATTAATAATTGGATAGTCAAAGCTTCCTGAAAGAAGATTTTTAAAAGAAAATTAAACCAGGTGAAGCTAAAACTTTTCCACTTGAGGAGTTCTGGATGGAGCATATTGACGGGCAATTTTTTTTATTTTTATCTTAAATGTAAAATGTTTGTGTTTTTTTAAAACAATCTTGGTATAATTGCTGCTATAGTGGGTCGCTCTGTCAAATAAAGACATGTTTTAGAGTCTCTACACTCTATTAAACTATTAATTGATAACTAAATTAGTTGACCATTATTTCAATAATCGATTAATCACGATTAATCTGATTAATTGTTTCAGCCTTAGCTTTAACACATCTTGGATTTATCAGCTGTTGTGAAACCGAATAAAAAAAATCAAAATGCAAAAGCCCGTTAAAGATTAAGATTACCCAACAATCCCACATAATTATGAACATTTTAAAAACTTTTATTTAAATGGAGGGTACTTTTATCTAACAATGATCTAATGGTTAATGAGAGGCTGAGGCTGATCACATTACTTGCAGACAGAAATCAAAAGTAGCAGTGTGTCAACTGTTAAATTAATTTTAAAACAAGAATTCTTTATATTCAGTGGCCAATTTATTAGGTATCTATTGATGGAAAAGGCTTTTTTTTTTTTTTTAAGCTCTAGTCAGACTGACTTTTATTTTTGCTCCAGACTTTCAACGTACACCACGAACACAGAAACCTTTTCAAACGAAAAAAATGTTACTGTTCTTTAATGTTAATGTTCAGCCTTATGCCAGAAAAAGCACCAGTGTAACTGGAACTATTCAATGTTTTACTCATGTCTCTCACACATAGGATGTAATGTAATTACGAGCACAAACATTTTTATCTAAAAAAACAACAGCAATGAAATGCCATTAGAATCACGCTTTTATTTATTTATTTCATTTTGCAATAAAAGGTAAAGTTATTTTTGATTTAAAAGACAGGACCTCTGGAAGGCTGGTGGCATAGGGCCCTATGGGTGGTTGTTTTGTGCCTGGGATGCATTAGAAGAGGGAGGGAAATAACCCTAAAAAATACCATTTCTCAGTTACATCCTGAATAATGTTTTTCTCTTTTTGAGTTGGTGCTGATGCAAGGAGAACAGAAATTTTTCATGACATGATTGTAGAGTACTATAGTCCTGCCCCAGAATTGAGATAATTTTCTAGATTTTGATTGGTTGGGGGAAGGGAGAAGGATGGGGCTGACCCACAGCACCATTCATGCAAGAACTACCACCATGACTGTAGAGAACCATCAAAAGAACTCTACTGTTCAACTGTCTACAATATGAAATAAACAACAAAAATATAGCATGGAGGAGATAACACTTTTGCTGTACATTGATTGTTTCAGTAAAAACCAAAGTGAGAATTAGATTTAATTCGGCTACTGTAGTTTAGTTTCTGTTTAATGTCTTTCTGATGGCTATCATGGCTAACTAGGACACTTAAATAAATCAGACCCATTCTTAATAACATTTGCCACCTGTACTGTTTCTGCACTTTCAAATGAAAACATCTCCTGTTTAAATAATCCATAAAAGATTTGAATAAAAAAAAAAAGCTTTTGTTTTCTCTCAAATGTGCAAAGACACATTTGGATTATTTACCCAAAGGACTCCTTTAAATATGATATAATACAATTATTTTATTATTTTAAGCTAGTTTTCAAGTTTTGAAAACAGCAGACAAAGGAGAGCAAAACAAAGACTGAGGCAACTTTTTGTTAGTGACAGCGCAGAGCAGCATTACTACTGCGGTGTAGCAGAGCAGAACATCATGGAGACATCTTCTATTAAGCGTGGTGAGGCGAATAGTCGCTGCACTGATTATAGAAGTTTGTTTATGACATTTGTTGTTGAAATGTTTGCTGATGAGCCCAAAGTTCATTACTCATATGGTGTCATTTCTGCACAAGGTGCTGCGAGTTAATTTAATGAGCAGTCAACAAAATGAATGAGTCTGCTTGACTGCAAGGTTGTGTGATTAGATGTGAAGCAGCAGTTTGTTATCCTGAAATGATACTGTGTTCTATTTAGCTCTAAAGTTGGATCTGGGACCAACATGCTCTAGTTGCGAGCTGAAAAACCAATGGGATTTGATAATTGCATAGCTCACTGATAAGGCTAACTACAGAGAGCAATAGCAGCATATGAAATATATTTTTCTATATGTTATGCTACCAAAAAATGTAAAGGCTCTATTGGGCTGCTTGTAGGACTGCTCTAATGAGGCGCAAACTATTTGAGTGATAGATAAAACTTTTTATAGTCAGTTATCATTTTTGGAGTGAAAAACTTTAGAAGTCAGATTAAAACTTAAAGAGCATTTAAGAGTGTACAGTTGGCAATCGGATGGTGACTTAAATTAGTTGATTTTCAGCCTGAAAGACTGAACTGTAATACACAAGAACATTTAGATCATTTACAGGCTCAGGGATCACAGGAAACATCAATGTCTTCACTAACAACAACAATCTTTGGAGCAGAAGACATCACTGCAAGAAACCTCTGATTTGGCAGTGTGAAAACAGACTATTTCACAGTTTTGTTTTTAAATCTAGTGTGCTACAAAATATACAGTAAATATGTTCTGTAATATTCATACTATAAGTAACAAAAAAATACATAGATAAATTAATCTGAGGATTTGTTTTATTTAACCCCTAACTTTTCCAGGAAATAACTCAAATGAGATCAATAATCTTTGTAACATTTTACAACAAACATCATTTATAAATAGTGAAGATACCATTTATTATTAATTAAAATATACTATATTAATGTTTGATAATTATTTATAAACAGCATCTAAACATTTTATAAAAGGTAAATAGGACATATTGCCCTGCTATCCCTAACTCTAACATCAGTGAGCTTATGCCTATCCCTAATCTGACTGAATTATATTGGCCTGCCATGTTGATTTAGCTTTACCTAACATCAGTAGGTTTATTGCATCAATAAATGATCTGTTAACCTTTATAAATTATTTAGATGCGGTTTATAAATGATTATCAAACATTAATAAACTATCTATTAGTCATTGATAAATGGTCTCTTTAGCATTTATAAAATATGGAAAACCTTGTAATATAGGGCACACTGCATTTTCACATGAGCAAAAATATGATTTAAAAGTAACAGAAGAGTTATAATCTGTTTTCTAAAGAAGCAAATGAGGCATGATGTAATTATTCTTAGTGCTGGTATTTGCACAGACACCTCTTTTCCATGACCAAATGGACTGCTGAATTTTTTGCTATTTGAATGATAAGAGAGAGACTTTTCTGATGCTTAAATATATTTTTGTTAAATAAAATAATTTTTTAAACTTTAAAACTTTTAAAACTGGTAAATCTTGCAACAAAATCTCTGAAGGTGTTTGTTTTTCAGTGAATTTCAAGCAAAAATAAAACAGTTTTAATAGATAGATAGATAGATAGATAGATAGATAGATAGATAGATAGATAGATAGATAGATAGATAGATAGATAGATAGATAGATAGA